AACCACCTAATATAGTACTTTCTATAAAAGACCAAATTCTACCTAATCTACCTAAAGAAGTTTAATTCTTAATTTAATTTAATTTAATTTAATTTAATTTAATTTAATTTAATTTAATTTAATTTAATATATATATATATATATTATATATATATAAAATATATATATATATATATGAATTATTATTTTATTTTTTACATTTAATGTAATAATAATATTCTTTTAATTATTTCCATAATTAATTTCTCCTATTTATAATTCTTCTTCGAAAATTTCGAATTTAGATAATGTTTGTACTGGCTTAAATTTTTATGTTTTTTATAATTGTTCTTTTTTTTATATATTTTACAAATAAAGATGTTTATAAATATAAATTGAATGATAATTCTTCATGAATTTTTAATAAATTATATATCTTTTTTTTATATATATTTTATTTTTCTTATATATAATTTTTATTACTTCATAAAATGTATATATGTCTTTTCTTTTTTATACTTCCTTATTTTTTATTTATAATTATAAAAAAAATTATTATTTTTACTTATAATAGTATTTAAAAATTTTTAATAGAAACATTAACTTATTTATCATTATCAGCATCTTTTATATTTAAATCTTATAAATTTATATTACAAATAAATACAAATCTAATAAAATTTTTTTTTAATTTATAAATAGTTATTAATTTTACCCATAATCCAATATTTTTTATATAGCTTCATATAATTTTTAATATTAAACTAAAACTATTTTATTTTTTATAAAAATAATAATATGCATTTTTAATTCAATTAACTTAATCTTTAATATCTTGTAGGACAACAAAATATTTTTATTTAAAATAATAAAGTGTTTTCATAACTATTATTAAATTTTTGTCTTTAAAAATTTACGATTTCGAACTTTTTATTTAAATTAAAAAAAAAAAAATACTTAAATATAAATTATTTTACTTCTATATAATCATAATTTATTTAAGAATTTTTCGTACAATTTTCAGTTTATATTGGAATTGATATTATATTTTCTTTGTTTTAATTTTATAAATTTATTATTTCTTGACTTTTTTAATTTAAAAAAACTTAATCTTCTTCCATTATTATTTTTATTTTTTTTGTTATTTTTAAAATAATATAAAAATAAAGATATACTTATTAATTAAAATAAGAAGATTATATATTAAATAAAATAATGTTATAATTTTAATAATGAAATTAAATAGTATGTAATTTCTAAGAGTAAATTTATACAAAACTTTTAATAGATTATGATATCAAATTTAAATATATTTTAAAAAATAATGGATATAAAATAATTATTAAATGTTATTTTAAAAACTTCTAAATAATAATAATTCTTCAAATTATAAATTCAATAATGATATTATAAAATTATTTATATAAACTTTAATGTATAATATTAATTAAATTTAAAGATATTTTAAATTTTATATTTTAAATATAAAATATAAATTAATTAATTAAAAAAAAAATATTTTTATATCATTCTTAAATTAAGAATGCTAAAATATAATGTTAAAAAAATATTTATAATTGTACAGAAAATAATAAAAAAAAATAAGATGAAATAGTAATTATAAAAGTATAAATAAAATAAATAAAAGACAGAGCAAAAAAATATTAAAATATTTAATATAACTATAACAATATATATAAAAAATAAATAAGAAACATTAAAAAAAAGTTAATGAAATTATAAATATTAAATATATAATAATATAAAAATAGTTGAATATATATAAATAAAAATAAATATATATATATTTTTTAACTTTTTTTAATATATTTTTATTAATAAATATTTTTGTTATTTATTAATAATCTAAATATTATATTTTTTTATTAAAAATATTACAATAAAAACATATTTATTTATATCTAATTTAAAACTTAGTTATATAAATTATTTATAATTTTGATATTTATACAAAAATGAATTAAAATAATAAGACATTTTTTATAGATAACAATAAAATAGTTCCTGCTTTAGCTATAGTATTTTCATACTTGTTTTACCAAAAATACTAAGAAATAGATTTCTAATAAAGATGGTTTAATTTTTTTATTTCATCTCCATTTGTATTTATGGTAATGTTCAATTATTAAACAAAAATTTGTAATTAATAAAATCAAAATTTAATATCTTTTAGTCTTTATGTATTTTCTCATCGCTTTCATAAATTCTTTATTTATAGTTTGATTTTTTACAACAAATACATTAGAAGTTGGACTATTTTTTAAGAAAATTTGGAAAACTTTTTACTTATTTTTATTCTATTTAAAATAGTTCCTTTTAATAAATGGCAATCTATTATAAATAGGGTATATTTTTTAAGAATCTTTTTAATAACGTTTTTCTATATAATTATTTATACAGATTTCATATTTTTGACTAGCCATACATTTCTTAAAAATTAATAAAACATTCCTTTTTTATTGGAATTTCTTTATTTATGGGATGCACTTCTTCAATTGTTTCTATTATTGATTCTAGTTTAAGAAATATTCCTATTATGCCTTTAAAAAGTGTTCTTGAGTCTTCAATAGAATGGGGTTTTTGTGCTATTTTGAATGTAATTTTATATTATCAATATGATAAAAATTTATACTAATATGGAAATCTCGAAAACATGATTAAAATATTAAGTTTTAGCTATTGGTCGTTAATTGGTCTAAAATATTTTAGAAGATATAATAACATTATTATTAAAAAAGTTAAATGAAAACCTTATAAAATTTATATATTTTACATATAATAAAACATTTTTAGTTCATAAAAAAATAATGCGTAAAATAGACACATAATCGAATTATTATTTGTTAACAAATAAATAATATATAAATGAATTAATACTTATATTATTTAAATTTAATATTTTTTAAAAATTCAATAATATATGAATAATTAAATATATATATAAAAACAATTTTATAAATTAAATTTTCCATAAATAAAAAAGCAAAATTTTAGATATAAATAAAATCAGCTTCAATTATATTGACAGATATAAGATAAAAAAAGCTATTTATTTTTAAGTAAAAAAATACAATTATTTATATAAAAAACAAAAATAGTTACAAATAATACATTTAAACTATAGACACTTTTTTAAAAAAAAGAACGAGAATCTATTATTAAAACAATAATTAAGTGAAGAAACTAATAAAAGCTTTTAAGTACTATAAATGAAATAAACTAAAAATAAATAATTTTATTTTATAAAGAAAAATATTAACTTATAAGATATAAAATACATTTGATTTGAATAAAAACTAAAAAACGAATGAATATAAAGTCTTATAAATTAAATTTATAATTAGAAATTATTAACAAACTGATTACTTGTAAGAAAAAATAAACCAATTATACGAAAAATAAAAATAAAATGAATAGTTGGAAGATAAAGCAACTCTAATTACTAAATTATTACAAAATAAAAAAAGACTTTTAATTTCCTATATTAAATCTAATAAAATAAAATAGTTGGAAAATCTTAAACAAAAGTTTAAATTCTAATTAAAAATATGAATAAAGGAAGATAATTAAAAATAGAGCATAACCTAAAATAACATAATAAAAAGAGTAATATTTAAATATCAGATAAATTTAATTTTAAATTAATGTCTTAAAAAACTCAAAAATAAAATTGTAAAAAATGGCTATAATGTTATAAATAAATATTAATTAAATATATTAAAAATAAAATAAAAATTAATATATAAAACTCATCATGATAAAATTAAAAATTAAAAGAAAAAAAAATTATTTATGTATATGATAATGTTATTTAAGAATTTGGAGTAAATAAGTTAATAAATAGTAGATTTATAATATATTAAATTAAAAAAATATAAATAAGATAAAAATGAATATATTTATAATGAAATATAGATTAATTATGATAATAATTTGAATAATTTTTGAATAATTATTTATATTAAAATAATTTAATATAAATAATTAGTTTATTAAAGTAATTAAATATAATTTAAGAAAAATATATAATTTTTTTTTTTTTTTAAATAAATAAATAATATATATAATATTTTTTTTATTTAATTAATTATTTTATAACATTAAACAAATTAAAAATTTCTTCTATTTTTATTTTAATAATTAAAAATTAGATAATTTATGGTAAAATATATATTATTAATTATTTATATAATTATAAAATAAAATATAATTTTACTATTTAATAGATGAATAAAATGTTAACATTAAAAAAATAAAATTAAAAAAATACATATAATTTTTAATTATTTAATATTCATATAAACAATAAAAAATATTGTAATATTATTACATTTATTATTGCATAATTAATGAAATAAATATATTTTAATTAATTTAAATAAATTGAATGTTTTCTTAATAAATTAATTAATGAAATTTAAAAGTTATGAATTTACTATACAAAATTTAATTATTTATTAAAAAATTAACATAAATATATAGAATGAAAAATTTATAATAATAATGAAAATTTAATTATATATATATAATTCTATTAATATTTATAATAATATATATATATTATATTTATTTATAAAATTGTAATATTTATATATATATATATATATATTTATAAATTAAATTTAAATTTATCATAAAAATAAATATAAAATAAAAATTTATTTACTTTTTTTACATAAAAAAATAAAAAAAATATGTATCTTTATGTTTAAAACGAGTTAATAAATAAAATATAAAAATATATAAAAAATATATAGATATATAAAAAATATATATATATATATATATATATATATATATATATATATATTTATTTCTATGTATTAAAATATACTTTTATATAATTATTTATATAAATAAAAATAATAATATTAAAAAGTTATATATATAATATCATTATTTCTCTTTAAAATAGTAAACTCAACTAATAAGTGCTTTTAATTCTGCTGGCTTTATTGGTTTTTTTAGTAATCCATCCATACCTGAATCCATAATTTTTTTCATAGTTCCACTATCATCATCTTATTTTTTAATTAATATTAAAATTAATATTTTTTATTCTTAATTTTAACCTGCTGACATTGCATACATTTTTATTCTTTGTAATCCTTTTGAAGATTCATAATTTCTTATTTATTTTGCTGACTTTTTTTTTAAATTTTTTTTTTATTTATTTTTATCATTTTTTTACTTCAAATCCATCCATATTAGGCATTGTCAAATCCATAAATATAATTTTATAACCATCCGAGTTTCCTTTAAATTTATCTAAACATATTTGACCATCTGCAGCAATATCTGCAACACCTCCTGCTGCAGTTACAAAATTAGTAAACATTTTTTATGCGAATGGGTCATCTTCGGCTCCTAATACTTTTTTATTGTCCATTTTTTTTATTGTTGTTTTTGATTTATTTTACTCTTTATGTTTTTTATTTTATTTTTTTATTTATTTATTTTTGATTATAATTTAATTTAATTTTATATTAATATTAATATTTTTTTTAAAGATTATATTTATTTAGTAATTGAAAAATGGATTTTATAATATGGTTGTGGAGCTATGATAAAAGATGGTTTTTTAATATTTATCATAATTTTATTTTATAATTATGGTAAATTTAATATAAAAAATTAGTTTATTTATATTTATAATATAGGTTTATTCCATTTTTATATTATATTTTTATTGTTTCATTTACATTTTATTAAATAAAAACTTAAGAATTATTTTAAAGTTAATGTATAAAAGATCATGGATATAAAAATTGGATTAAATTATTATTATTTATATAATGTATGAGTATATTTTTGATTATATTGTTATATTCAAAATTACATTTTAAGAAAAAAAGAGTATTATTTATTCATTGATATATTTATATATATTATATAAAATATATATATATATATCTACAATTAAATATAATATATAAATACATATTTTTATTCATAGAAACAACTATAAATAGAGAAATATTCATAAGGGTAATATTTTTAGATAAAAAAGCTTGAGTTTTGGTATGTTTAAAAATCTCTTTTGAGTCCTATAGGGATATTAGTTTTATTTTTTTCAATTTTTAATATATTTATTGGAATTGTAGGATATTAACTATATAATAAAAATCAAGGGTAATATTGTGATAAAAATAGTATTAAATAAATTATTTTTATAAATCTTATATACGATATAATTGGGTTAGTCCCTTTTTTAAGTGGGTTAATTGGTATTTTTGTTAAAATTTTTTGGATTGCATTTTTATTTATAGCACCTAATATATATATAAAAATTTTCAAAAATAAATTATTCCAAAAATTATTTTGAACGTATTAATAAAAATTTATATTATTATTTAAATAAAATATACTTTATTTTTAATTAATAAATATTTAATAATTATATATATATATATTTAATATTTCATTTCAATAAGATCTTCCCCAAAAAACTCTAACTTAAGCTTTACCTCCACAAGCAAAGCAAACTGCATTTTCTTCTAATTTTTCTTATTCTAAAGGAATACAAAGAGATTTTGCAGATCCAGACAATCCAGATTCCTTTTAAAATTAAAAAATAAAATATATATAAAAGTAATATATATATATATATATATATATATATATATATATATATATATTTATATACATTTTCAGCTAGTTTAGATTCTAAACCTGATCTATCTTTTACATTTTTTTCACATTATTATGTATTACACCTTTTTTTAAAAAAATTAAATAAACTATATTTTAATATAACATATATGTTATTACCATGGTGTATTTACAATATTTCTAGTATTTAATGAAGTCATAAACTCTTACCAATTATTTGCTTTTTTTTATTTTTCTGCAAATTTTTTTTTAGAATTTTCGAACATAATATTATATATTTTTTCAAATCTTTCAAGTGTAGCCTCAACCACAACATCCTAACTAATCTATTCTTTAAATCCATTAACTCTCCAAACAGCTCTAACTTCATTTTTATCCAAATCTGCTGGTCCTAATTCAAATCTAAGAGGAACACCTTTCATTTCCCAATGATTATATTTCCAACCAGAAGTCTAGTGATCTCTATCATCTACAAAAACCCTAATTCCTGCAGCTTTTAATTTATTTTTTAATTGATGAGCATTCTATAATAATTGTTCGCTATCGATTCCTGTCTTTATAATTGGAATAATAACTACCTAAACACTGGCAACTGCAGGTGGCAAAACTAAACCCTAATATAAAAATAATATTACATAAAAATATAAAAATATAAAAAATAAAAATATAAATATAAATATATAAATAATTATATAAATATTATATATATATATATATATATATATATATATATTATAAATATAAATATTTATATTTAAAAATATCAATTTATAATTATATAATTATATTGATATAAAAATAAATAAATATATTAACCTAATTATCTCCATGGTATAAAACCATAACACCTATTGAACGAGTAGTTAAACCCCATGATGTTTACCAAACAAATGTGTTTTCTTTTTTAGAATTAAGGAAAGAAATATTGAACATTTTTGAAAAATTTTAGCCTAATTAATGAGAAGTAGCAGCTTAAACAGCCCTTCCATTTGTAGGAATACATGTTTCAATAGTAGTTGTATAGAGTGCTCCTGGGAATTTCTCTCCTTCAGATTTAACTCCTTTAATTACTGGAACTGCGAGTACTTCCTCATATACTCTTCTATAGAAATCTAATATAGTATATGTTTATTCGTCTGCTTCTTCTTTTGTTGCATGTGCAGTATGTCCTTCTTACCATAAGAATTCTCTAGTTCTGATAAAAGGAGTAGGGTCTTTAAATTCCCATCTAACTACATTTGTCCATTAATTTAATTTCAAAGGCAAATCACGATGAGATTTAATCCATTTGGAATATGCAGGATACATAATAGTTTCTGATGTAGGTCTTACTGCTATTGGCTCGGGTAAATCAGTTGAACCACTACGAGTAACCCAAGCGACTTCTGGAGAAAATCCTTCAACATGTTCTTTTTCTTTATTTAATGCTTTTTCAGTTACAAACATAGGAAAATAAGCATTTTAAACATCATTTTATTTAATTAAATTATCGAAGAATTTCTATTTATATATATATATATATATATATATATTATATATATATTATTTTTATATTTATATTTATATTTATATTTATTTTACTTATATGTTTTCCCATATAGTATATGCATTTGGACGTAAAATATAACAACCAGAAACATCATAATATTCTATTAATTCAGATTTAGTAATTATTTATTTATACCATTCAGATAGATCTTCTTCTTTTTTTACTGTAAGTTTCAATTTAGTCTCATGTGAGTTTTCTTATTCTTTTTATTATTATTATATTTATGCTTTTTTATCCGCTTCTTCTACTTCATCAAGTTTTGCGAGAACGAAATCATGTCCAATTAATGATAAGTATTTTTTAAATTCGGATTATTTAAGTTCTACCGTTGCATCGTTTTCCATAGGATGGAATGACCAATATTCATGACTTTCTAAATTTTTATCTATTATTAATTTAACCTATTTTTATTTTAATTAATATTTTTTTTTTTTTAATTACTTTTTTTTCATTATCATTAACTAAAGAAAATGCATTTAAATGTCCTTTTTAACATTTTATTACGTTTAAAGTTTATTCCTCAGGACAAAAGCGAATGTTTCCAGGTGCTAAATTAATATTTTTCCAAAAATTTTTTTCTACTTTAGTATCTGATTTGGCTGCTATAAGATAATAATTATGTTTTTTATCCACGTAAAATAGATTTTTTATCAAAGGTGCTTTTTCTAATTTCATATTGTTTAGCATTTCTTCTACAGTAAAGACAGGTGGGTGTTCGTAGTATTTATATTCGATTTTAAGTTAGTTAAGGTAATTTAACATTTCCGTTTTTTTTAAGAATTGTTGTGTTTCGGCCATTTTTTTAGAGAATAAAAAATATTAGTTATTTAATTATTTTAATTTATATTATTTTAATTGAATTAATTTTAAAAATATCAGCATATCCTTTTTTTTTTTTTTAATAACACATATATATTATTTTATTTTATTTTTATAATTTTTATTTTTTTAGTTTAATATTTATATTTTTTTATATTTAAATAAAAATATATTTAGATAATTTTTATATTTCGATTAAAAATGTAAATGTTAAATTTATATAAATATTATTTTTAATAAAAATATATATACATATTATTATATATTCAAAGAAATATAAATAAATTAAAAAAAAAGAAAAAAAATATTTTTAATGAATTAAAAATAAATAAAAATAATTATTTAATATATAATTAAATTATATATTAGAGTATAACTAAATAATTAAAAGTCTGTTATATATTATAAAAAAATTATTTTTAGAAAATAAAATTATAAATAAAAATGTGATTATTAATTTTTTAATAAAAAAATGATAAGTAAATGAATGAATAAATTTTTTAAACGATTAGGTATAAATAATAAATAATATAATAAAAATAATTAAATTGTAATTTTCTTATATAAATATATAAATAATATATTAATAATTTAGTATATAAATATATAAATATTTATATGTATTTTATTTGGATTAGCTATTTTCTAGAAATATTATTATGAACATTTAATTTATTTTAAAATATTAAATATAAATATTTAAATAATAAATAATTTCAAGATAAAGTATTTTTTTATATGCTTTTATATAAAATTACAAATTATATATATGAAAATATAAATAACATAGTTTTTGTTTAAGAATATATATAATTATTTTTAAATACAAATTTTATATTTATCTTTATTTTCTACAAATTGACATTTATATTTTAAATATATTAGCTTTTTATTGTTTATTTATTATTACTTTAATCTACTATTTTCTATTCATAAGTTCATTTTTTTAAATAAAAAACATTTTTTAAAATATTTATACGATACATATTTTTTATATTATTCGTATAGTAATGTAATTAAATTTTATTTTTTATTAATTTCTTTTACTTTATATATATCTGTTTTAATTACATACTTATTATAATTTTATTTTTATTTATAAAAAGTAGCTTATATGTTTTATATAATTAAAAATTGCATTTATAAAGATCTTTATAATTTGTATTTATTTAATTTTTTTATATTTTAAAATACTCTATTTAATTTTTACAATTCATATTATTTTAAATTTATATTTTGTATTTATTCTTTTAAATATATTATATATTATCAAATTATTATATAAAATATAATTATAATTATATATTTATTTCTTTTTTATTTTATATATAGTAATTCTAATTATTTTTATATAATCATTCTTTATATTTTATATATTAAAGGGGCATTATAAATTATGATATTTTTAAAAAATTATTCAAATTTTATTTGTTAAAACAAAAGAAAATGTTAAACAAAAAATTTAAACATTATTTTTATTTTCGAGAAATACTAGTTTTATAATAATATTAAAAAATTATATTTTTAATTTTTGATTATAAGAAAATGGTAAATTATAATAAATGTTTTATTTATTATATATAATTATTATTTTTATTAATTATATATATTTATTAAATAATATATTAATTTAATTATTTTTATTATAAGTTTAATTTTTTTTTTATGCTATTAATTTATAAATATGTATTTTGTTATTATTTTATTCTGTTTTTATATGTTTTTAATTTAAAATATAAATATATATATATATATATAAATATATATATATTATAAATATATATTATATTTTTAAATTATTTTATTTTATAAAAATAAGTTATTTTTTATTAATATCAATAAATAAAATAAAAGAGAAAAATTGATTATTTTCTTCTTTTAAAAAATAAATACAAAAAAGAAATTGTTTGCTTATAAAAAAAAAAAAA